TTATTTATTTATTTATTTATTTATTTATTTATATTTTTTAAACAATAGGAGATTCCAAAATGAAGCCAGGTTTAGGAAGCATTGCCTCAGACAGAAAGGAGAAGATGGGATGTAATTCACTCATCCATTTAGACAGCCCTCCCTCCCTCTGAACACAAAAGTGGCTTGGCTTGTACACAGTGGAGCTCAACAAATGCTCATTAGAATCTGGATTGAAGCAATACTACCTGATCTGTAAAACTAATTGCTAAAAGTGGAAAGACCAAGTTCTCGACCTCTTTGTGCTCCTACTTTTCACTTGATGAATTAAAAAAGTCTCTGAACAGAAATCTACTGGAATGGCCACATACAGAACATACATTTCTTACCTTTATAAGACAGTCCTCTTTTTGAGATGAGAGGAGAACATTCTCTGGCTTTAAATCCCGATGTATAATACCATTTTCATGAAGGTACTACACAGAAAGGGAGGCAAGACCTTAGATTTATGGAGTACACGTGTGAGTAGAGACAACACACACACATACACACAAACACACACGTCTTACATCTGGGTGAAACTGTAAGCCATGTTACTCATAAATATATTGCCCCAAATCATAGAAAACTCCTGGGTAAAGGGGTTAGTGTTTACAACTTGTTTTCAAGAAATCTTTAAAAAGTACAGAAATGAAAAAGGCAACTTATGATAGCAGGTGGACATTTTATTTCACTTTTCAAGATAAGTATCCTTTCAGTTTGGCAGAAACATAAGCTGTCAATTTCAATAATAAAAAAATATAAATGGGTGATATAAAACATTTTGAAGGCCATATTATAAAGTAAACCATAAAAATGCCACCAAAGTGATATATTTGCTTATTCCAACCCTGAGAATAATATTTTTAAAGGGAGTCTGTAAAGTACATATTGTAAATTATTTGTTTAAATACTCAGAGTTAACAAATGCGTCGATGCAAAGAATTACTTAGCCTTCAAAAACTCTATGGTCTGAAATACAGATGCTCCTTGACTTACAATGGGGTTACATCCTGATAAACCCATCGTAAGTTGAAAATATCTTGTCAAAAAGCTTTTAATACACCTAAGCTACAAAACATCATAGCTTAGCCTAAATGTGCTCAGAGCACTTGCATTTGTCAACAGTTGGGCAAAATCATCTAACACAATGAACACCCTGCAGAGTATCAGTTGCTTACCCTGGAGGTCATGTCTGTGGCTCCCTGCCACTGCCCAGCATCAAGAGAGTTTCCTACTGCATATCACTTGCCCAGGAAAACATCAAAATTCCAAACTGGAATGATGGTTTCTACTGAACCTTTATGACTTTTGCACCATCATAAAGTCAAAAAATCTTAAGTCAAACCACCTTAAGTTGGGGGCCTGTAGTATGTTGATATGTACACTAAGTCATATTTCATTAATAAAATAATTTCCCAAGTGCACTGATCTGCACTCATTTCAGCTTAATATTCTTGATATAAGGGAGGGAATAAATCATTGAGAGAGTAAAGAACTGGTTAGCTGTTCATAGGCTTCAATTTTCTCTCCCTGGCTATCCCTCTGGCCTAGAACAAAAATTCCTCTGAACACATGCACTGGGAATGGAACCTGGTGAAGCCCTAGGGAGGGCAAGCCCAGGTGGACCAGCCCCAGGAAAATGTCCCTCGATCCTCACTCAGTGCAAGAGCTGGTCCCAACCTCCGCATTTCCTGCAAGCATTTTCCTGCCCCATTTTCAAAGAAGAAACCTTAGCTGAGAATCACAACCAAATTTGGTTAGAGAAAGGCTGGTGTTCTTTGAAGCGGGCAGAATTGCCACCCGCTGTTCCTCCATGCAGCACTTTCATGGAATCAAGAGAAGGCAGTGCACATGCCTGCCCGCCCACCTGCGTTAACAGGATGCTGCATATGAAGGGGAGCAATCAGAGTGTCACAGTCACCCCCAACTTGCCAGCCTTGTCCTCTTACCTGCTCCTCTCATAAAGAGATAAGGGGGATTCTATAAGGGTCAGGCAGAAGCAGAGATCAATGCTCCTCCACAGGTGCCTCCAAGCGAAAGAGAAGACCCATGGGACCATGTTTTTATTTATTTAACTCCCTTTCTTTCTCTCTCTCAAACTTCACAGCAAGAGCTTTCTCATCTGAGTCAAAGGGGGGGATGTTTTTGCCAAGAACAGAACAAACAACACACACACACACACACACACTCTGTTCTCCAAGTTTTCATCCATCCATGCCTCACTTTCTAATTCAGAGAGTAATTCACCTACAAGAAAAGTTGCCATAAGCACTGTGGGCTTCCTACCTGTACAGCCAGGAGCATCTGGTAAAAATAGAGTTTGCACGTAGCTTCTTTCAGGCGTCTGTTCCCCACCACCCTGTCAAACAGCTCGCCTCCTTCCATCCTGAAACACATAGGCATAGTGGGGGTTTGTGCCTGGAGGGAAACTCACTTGGGTGGACAATAACACAAACAAAACACAGTCATTAAGACAAGCCATATTTATTGACTTTGATTGTAAATCAATTAGGTAATAAGCTTCATCCATAACGAAGATGTCCCCAGAGGAAACTAAGAACAAGGGAAGATGGGAAGACAATGCAGTGGGCATTGGAGACACTTGGGGAGCTTTAAAACTGACTCAGTGGATCGGAGGCAGAGCCCAGGAGTGTGCATTTTAATCACACTCTCCAGAGGATTCTGAGACTGGTATAGGGCAGCAAGCAAGAGTATATAATCGGATAATCAAAGGACTAAACCCCAACTCCACAACTTCCCCACTGGGGGCGCTTTGGGCAAGTTAGGTAACCTCTCTGATCTTGTTTCTGCCTCTTAAAAACAGGGGGATGATCCCACCAAATACTTTGACAGCTGTTGAAAAACTTAAGAGATAATTGATGTAGACGGCACAGTGCAGATGTTTGGCAAGGTTACTCAATCCCTCTGCACTTGTTTCCTGTGCTGTAAAGTGGGGCTAAAAGTAGTTACCCACCAGTAACTTGTAAGTAACCTGGATGACTTATGAAGAAGGTTAAATGACTCAATCCATGTAAAGTGCTTACAGCAGTACTTGGCTCAGAGAAAGTGCTTAATTAGTATCAATTATTGTATTATTATTTACTATTATTAAACTGTTTTAACTAGGCCCAGTCAGGTACCATTCTCCTTGTTAACAGCAACAGATATTCCCTCCAGCCCCACAAGGGCTGTCCAGTTTCTCCTAATGCTTTGATCAGGACGGTTGTTTACTGTATAATCTTAACAGACAACCTGCATAGCCAGTGTTTGCCACTCGGGAAGCAAAGCCTTGCCTGTCTGCCCCAACAGCCGCTCCCAGAAACATGACATATTTATGCAGGAATGGACATCAGGCAGGCTTCTTCCAGGAATGAGGCAGAAAATTATTTTGGTCATACCAAATAAAACAGGACTCTATCGCCACTGAAATAAACCAGCACCTTGAAGACGCTCAGGTGTCTCCATGCAACCTGGTACTATGATCCCGAGCAGTTAAGTCCATCAAGGCAGGTATTTCAGAGTAATAATATCCACCTGTGGCTGAGGACCTACGTGTGCCAGGTGCTCTGCTGGGGGCTTTCTGCCCTTCACAGTATTTATTCCTTATGACTCTGCAAATGGGGAATCATTAGTACCCCATTTAACACCAGGTGAAGTCAACTAACAGTGAGCAGTCAGCTAGTCACCTGCAGAGTGTGGTTCAAACCCAGGCCTCAGATCCAGGGCTGGAGCGTCTACCTGCCTTTGGAAATACTGGAAGGGTTTCAGATGTGATACTAAGCCCCTCACGCACTTTGTGGGCCCCACGACCACACACATAGGTTGAGCGTCCCCAGGATGAGAAACACAAGCCAGCATTAGTCTTTCAATAAGGATTTAAATGGAAACAAATAAAAAAAGCTTACTACTTACAGTTCCAAAACAATATAAAAATCTTCAGCATCAAAAAAGTCTTTAATCTTGATGATACAAGGCTAAAAGAGGGGGGGAAAGGAAAAGTAGTGAGAAGCCCACAAGAGGAAAACCACAAGAGTAGGACTCGCAGCATCCGCCCAGAGGGTCAGGGAGGCCAAGACCAGGCCTTTGGCCCCGACCTGGGACACTGTGAAGTTCATGCAGAGAAGGCAGAAAAGAATGAATCTGGCTCCTCAGTGTGAATGTAAAAGAAACTCGCCACCCCACCAAGTTGGCGAGGGACCGGTTCACGTCTCACACATAAGGATGGCACCAAGGAAGGCTGGGGGGTTTCCTCCCAGCCCTCCTCACTGTCCCAGAGCCTACTCAAGGACTTCTCATAACCTGGAGGAGCCCAACAAATAGCACGAATGTATCGAGGCCGGGTGGGTGCCGGCCATCCTGCCAGACAACGGGCTATTCAGCTCTGCGTGACTGCAACCACAGGGGAGCGGGAACCCCATGTGACAAGATCCTCCCATTTCTCAAGGGAAGAGGAAAATTGAAATTCCAGTTTCATAAGAACGCTAAATCACATCTACGGGGTGAGGGAGACACACACAAATGGCTGGCAAGTTTTTGATTCTGATCAATGCAGGAGGCATAGAACATTAAAGAACAGTATTGTATAGTGTAAATGCATATTTATAGTATGACTTTTATGCTTGGAAAACAAACCTCTTGTTTTTAACAGAAAAAGGACAGGCACTAAAGCTCAGTGGTTAGGGTAAGTAAAAGCTGTGGTATCTATCAGGGACACCCCCTACTCCCCAGCAAAGAGGACTGTGATTGTATCAGAACAAAGGGGAGAGAGCTATAAGATTTTTAGATTTTAGATTTAAGAGTAGCAAAATTCACCAGAGCGATCTTCCTACAAAGCAAATTTCACATCAGTCACTCTGATTAAAATCCCCCGAGGGGTACCTTCCCATAGTGAACTATTACACAGCAGTGAATGACCACTGTGTAATCTTGGAAACATAACGTCGAGAGGAAAAGGCAAGTCACGAGAAGCGTCAAAGAGCATGAAGTGCTTCCGTGAAAACTCATGTTTTCATTCTTAAGTGGCAAATCCAAAGGTGTTCACCTTACCGGTTTGCTTTGTAATTTACGTGTACTACTTTACATGTGTCAAATATTACAAAATATTTAAAGGAAGGAAGGGAGGAGAGCACCCAGAGGGAGGGGAGGAGGTGGGAAGGCAGAAAGGAAGGCAGACTCGAAGAAAATTGTTGGCTCTGTGCTGCCTGGAGGCTAAAATCCCACCCACCACCCAGCCTCATCTCCTGCTTCAGGTCCCACATCCCCTCTTCTCCAGGCCACCAAACTCGGCGGTCACCCCAGAGTCCTTGCGCTCTTTCCCGGTGTCACACCCCTGCCTGGTGATCCAGCCCTCTGGGCACACTTGGCCTCAGGCCCCAGCTAAAAATATCCCCCGCACAACCCACGCACACATCCAGCAGCGGTCAGAATCCGTGGCCCACGCTGCATCCTCAGCAGCTGACTCCCCACCAGGCCGGACGCTCCGGGAGGGCAGACAAAGGAAACTCACACAGAGCACAGGCTCTGCATGGGTGAGTCAAGTTATCGATCTTTCTAGGACCAACACTCAGCATAGCAGTAGGCACACGGGAGACACGCACAGGCTGCCCGATTAATACCAGTAACGTCAGTATCAGATACGCCGCCCGCTGATGCTAGACTGCCAGCCAGTTCGGTCATGGAACGTGTGGCCATGGGCATCAGGCTGACAGCAAACAGTTCCACCACTCCTTACCTACAATCACAGTATACTCAGCTCTGCGGGAACATTTGTTATTGTCACAGTAATGAAAACACTGAATATGGGCTGCAGTATGATTAAGGGGACTAGAAAGGACAGATAAAATTCTCACATAGCCCGGCCGGGCGTGGCTCAGGGGTTTAAGGGTCGCGACCTAGGATCCAGGCGATCAGGGTTCGATTCCCGGTCAGGGCACATGCCCCGGTTGTGGGCTTGATCAATGACTCTCTCATCATTGATGTATCTCTCTCTCTTCCTCTCCTTTCCTCTCTCTGAAATCAATAAAGATATATTTAAAAAAAAAATTCTCATGTAACCATCACAGGAAAGCAACATGCTACCGAAAATAAACCGAGACAGCAGTATATTACGTAGGAATATGGAGGTAAATTCTTTTTGAAGAGTTTTGAAATGTTTGCAGAGAAGGAGATTAGGAGAGATGAGCACCTGCTGCTTGCATAATAAACCTTTTAGCACTCTTTAGGTTATATGCCTGTGGTGTCTTGACAAAATAAAAAGGAGAACATGGAAAAAGAAGAGATTAAAGGGAAAAATGAGAACTTCTTGGTTCCGCTTGGCTTCCTAACAGGCAGTACCCACCTGGGAATGGGTGTAGCTGGAAGCTGATAAAGCATAAAGCGGTGCCCACGGTCACTGGCTGGAGCTGGCACAGCTAAAAGTGTATCTCAGGAACCAGAGGCTACTAGGTCGACAGAGAGAAGTTTGTTTTGTTTTTTAAATATATTTTTATTGATTTCAGAGAGAGGAAGGGAGAAGAAGACAGAGAGTCAGAAACATCAATGATGAGAGTCATTGATCCGCTGCCTCCTGGATGCCCCCAACTAGGGATTGACCCTGCAGCCCGGGCATGTGCCCCGACCGGGAATCGAACCGCGATCTCCTGGATCCTAGGTCGATGCTCAACCGCTGGCCGGGCAGACAGAGAGAAGTTTAAGGAATCACAGATCTCTATCATTCCCCAAGTGTGTTCTCTGTGCTGAAAGCTGTACAAGCACATCTCATTTCATTCTCACACCGACCTCTGAGGTAAGTATCTTTATTCCCTCCACTGTACAGATGAGGTTCAGAGGAAGGCTCTGAAAAGCAAAATGACCTTCTCAGAGCCAGGTGGCAGAGAGGAGACGGAATCCCAGGTCTGTCTCTACACCAGGCTGAAGCCACAGAAGAGGGATGGCTGAGTCCATGTGTGCTCAATGCCTGACACAATACGTCTAACAACTGAGTGAATCAGTGTTTGACTCCAAAGGCCAGGCTCTACTGGGCTACCAGGCTCTACCCATTGTTCTGAAAACGAACTCATGAGCCCCTATTTAATTCCCAAGGGCTTCCAAATGCCCTTGTACATTGCCAAGTAATATCTCCAAGGACATTTTTAGGGTTCTAAATTTCTCTCGACTACAATGGACATGGGATCTATATAAATGTTATGTTTGGGGATCCTTCAACATCAGAAAATTCTCTGAGCATTCAAAGTATTTATCTTAGGGGTATGTTTGAGACAATCCCACCCCAGAAAATTAGAGGGCTCCTCTCTTTAACAAGAGATTCCAGATGCCTTGGAAAAAGGAGAGTTCAGAGAAGAGAAAGGAGTGGCAAGGGAATTAGAAGAAAGCCAAGCAGGAGGGTCAACCATTTGGATTCTCACCGGTTTTCAGATCTACCCATGAGCTCGAAAGGAACCAGTTGAATGGCTGGGTCAATGACAGTGATTCTGTAAGTTTCTATTTGTTTGGGGGATTAGAGGAGGTGAGAGAACAGAGAAGAAATCTTTTTGTTGCCTGAAGGTTAAAATAAGATCATCCTTAGCTGGACAGACTGGGAGGTCTTGTTTCAAGTTTAACTCCAGTACCCAGCTAGCTTATGACTTCATGGAGGCTCATGAATTAATGAAGAAATAGAAAGAACAAAATAAAGAAAGATGGGATCAGTCCCATAACTCTAACTTCTCTTCTTACATCTTTAAAGTTAGACACTTTCCATTGTAACAAGGTCATCAGTGCACAAAAAAAGATAGGAACTATTAACACTGACGCCATTTAATCAGGTTTAAACGCAAGTTGTTGTCAACCATATTGGATACCCTTGAATATATTTTATTTACTCCAACTGAGATAAATGGAAACCAGCACTATCAAAAGGTATTTAGAGGTGTTAAAACTTCAGGTATAATCAAACCAAATTTACTGAATTAGCATTGTCTTCCCAAACATAATCAGTTGATAAAGTCCGTATGGGATATAAAATTTAGGAGATTGACTATGTTTCCTGTTAAGAACTAAATCAGTACAAATATCACATAATTACTTAACTATGAAATCATTACACAGTATTGTCCTTTCAAAAGTTCAGGGTAAAGCTCTTTACAGCTAAATGACAACACACGAATGCATGCATGTGTATACACATGTACACACACAATTAAGGAACTCAGGTTAATACCAGCTTTATTACATTTAAATGTTTTGCACTCCTCCCGTATTTTGAGATAAATGATTTTAAATATGGGCCATATTTGACAACAATACTTACATGATTTAATTTTTTCAAAATTTCAATTTCTGTTTCAACATTTCGAGCCGGATCCTTTGATAAATAAAATAACATTAGAGTTTATTAATAATAATAATAATAGCCAATATTTAGAAAATGTTTACAGTTAAACTTAGTTGAGTAATGGTTGCCTAGTTCCAAACCCAGCCCTACTCAGATAGAATAATCAAAGCCTAGGGGTGAATGATTTAAACAACTCATTTAAAATCACTGTTAAGTGCATGGCAAGTAAGAAGCATTCAATAAATGACCAGGCTTTTATGCCAACCTCTTTATTTAAAAGAGTCATGTCACATAAGCCTCATAATCCTCAAGTGAACAAGGTTCTATAATAATCCACATTTTAAAGATGGAACAACTGAGGCTCAGAGAAAGGAAGCCACTTGCTCCAGTTCCCACAACCAAAAACAAGTATTTCCACTGTCTCATGCTTATCTGCTAAATTCTTCTTGTCTCATTAGCTGTGGAATTGTTGGCAGTCACAAAAATCATTTAAAAAAAAAAAAAAACCACTAACAAAAATGTTATTTAATTGAACTATATGAAGAAACTGTCAAGTCAAATATCTCATAATAGAGCAGACACAGGTTTCAATTTCAACTGCAAGCTGACATGTTTATTGAGACTCTTAACTAGAGGAAGCTTCAGGGTACTGGAGTTGTTCTCAATTACAATTCCAAAAGGATGAATCGAGTGTTACTCAACCTCATGGACTACACCCTCCGAAAGCACAGAGGATATAGAGTTACATATTTATGTAAAATGGACTTCAGCTAAGAAACCCAGATGTTTAATTTTAAAAGCCTGCCTCTTCCTGTAAGCCGTTAAACTCATTACTAAGTCAGGGTGTGCTATGATGATAGAGGTCTAAGAGAGTTCAAAATTATTTGAAAGATGAAATTAAGAACTAAAATTTTGCTGCAAGTCATTAAGAATCTGGTAGGTATTTTCTTTCTCCACAAATGGGAAACAAATCCAGAATCACAAGGGAAAAGATCTATAACAAAGTGAACACAGAAAGGAAATTCCTCTTGCCATGTGAGAATGGCATTGTCTTAGGGGGGAAAAAATTGATTTTTAAAGAATGTTAAAGTATAATAGCCAGAAACAGCTGGTCACAGAGGAAACAAGATTACCGGTCACATTTTACATTACTTTGTTGAGTCGTGTTGAAAGTCCAATACATTTGGCCATTTCATTCATGCAGTAAAAGTGTATTACATAAAATGTAATAAAATGAATGGCTAGTATATAAAGAGACTATTAAAATAATTTAATTAAGATTGTAAAAATCTATAACCACTAAGATATTTATTGCCACATTACCAGAAGAACAAAAAATTGGAAATTATCTAAATGATCAACCAGAGAAATGGTTGAATTAATTATGATAAACTCAATAAAATAGAGACTTGACCATCAAAAAGGATATATTAGGGAAAAGTTTATGTATGCATTAATGCTTGTATGGAAAAGCAGAATACAAAATTGTATATACAATGTGATTTCAACCATCTAAAAACATGAATTCATATGAACAAAGACTAGAAAGGAAAAAGAAAACTGAAAACAGCTGTGGGGCTACAGTGGTGGGAATATGGCTGGAATTTTTTTCCCCCTAATTTTCTTTCATTTATTGTAAAAACAGTCTTGTGATAACTTAGAAGGGAAAAAAATCCAACTTCCTGATAGTACATTATTATATACAACCAATTATTTTTTGGAACCAAATTAATCTATAAATTTCTAGATTAGTTGAATACACTAAAGAGTTTTCAATATTCTTTGATACAAAGTCACATACCTGAGCAGTAAATTCTTCCTGACATTGAAAATCACCACTCCAAAATTATTCTGGGAAATTAAGAAGTGTTAAGAACTGCTGAGCAGCCAAACACAGGTACTTACTGCCTCTTTCTCGGAGCCAATAGCAAACTTCCTTTTGCTGATGATCTTTATGGCTACTTTCTTACATGTTTTCCTCTCAAAAGCTAGCTTCACCTCACCACAGGCACCACTAAGGGGGAAAAACATAGAAAGTGATTGTCAGAAAGTTTTTAATCAGGAGACCCACCACTCCCGAGTTGGCCTCAACTATTACAAGATAAAGGCGGTCCAGTGCTCACTTCGGCAGCACACATACTAAAAACTTGGAACAATACAGAGAGCATTAGCATGGCCCCTGCACATGTTCTCTCCCTCCCCCCCATGTGCGCACATACACAAGCAGTCAATACACATCTTTCCATTGTCCCTGTTAGTAGAGAACAGGGTGAAACCTCACCAACCTAACATGTCAAAGGCCTAAGTGAATGTGGACCGGAGTCAGCTCCAAATTCCACCTTTTAAGCTGATACAGGCCTGTCTGCCTGTCACTCCACATGGTAAACTTCTCATAAAGACACTAAGAAAAACTAAGAACAAACAGAAATGACTTATCCCAGAAACATCAAACAAAACAGAGTCCTAGTCAAAAATGAGTGCCTGAAACGAGTTACAGCAAACAATTTATTTGCAAATTAATTACTTTCATAGATGCATTTCTTTCTTTGTTTTCAAAGAAAGTGCATAAGCAGTTGATGCCATGAAGTGCACCCTAAATAATATCACAATACCTAAGAAGCCAAAGGTATTACACAATTAACCTGCTTGCAGCAAACTCAAAAATTTGCAATTAATTGCGATACTATAATAGAGAAGAAATGCTAACCTAGGGTAGTTAATCCTATGTAGGCTCTGTTCTCCAAAGCTTGGGTCAGCCCAAGGTCATGCCTACTTAACCTGGTTGAAGTAGACCATTATAACTATTATAGGTTTTGGGGTGGTGTAAAGGGTCTGCCAAGACATCTTTTTTTATTGTGTATTGTGTATATACATAACATAAAATTTACCATTGTAATCATTTTAAAGTGTACAATTCGGTGGCATTAAGTACATCTATAATGTACAACCATCACCCCTATCTAGCTCCAGAATATTTTCATCAGCCCAAACAGAAACCCCATACACACAAAGTATTCACTCTCCCATTCCACCCTGCTCCCAGACCCTGGCAACCACTCATCTGCCTTTTGTCCATGAATTTGCTTATTTTGAATATCTCATTAACAACAGAATCATACAATATGTAGCTTTTTGTGACTGGCTTCTTTCACCTGGCATGTTTTCAAGGTTCATCCATGCTGTGGCATGTATCAGTATTTCATTCCTTTTTATAGCTAAATAATATTTGACTGTATCAATATATCACATTTGTTTATCCACTCACTTGTTGATGGACCCTTGGGTGGTTTCCACCTCTTGGCTATTGTGAATAGAACTGAAATGAAGATCCATGCACATGTTTTTGTTTGAACACCTGTTTTCAATCGAGGGGGGGAATATACCTACAAAGGGAGCTGCTGGGTCATGTGGTAATTCTATGTTTAACATTTTGAGAAACCACCAAATTATTTCCCCCAGTGGCTGCACCATTTTACATTTCCCACCAGCAGTGGATGGGGGAGTTCCAATTTCACCACATCCTCACAAACACTTACTATTTTCCATTTCTTTATCATGGCCATCCTAGTCAGTGTGAAGTGGTATCTCAGTGTGGTTTTGGTTTGCATTTCCCTAGTGACTAATGATGCTAAACATCTTCTCATGTGGCTTTTGCTCATTTGTATATCTTCTTTGGAGAAACATCTACTTACATCCTTTGCCCATTTTTATATTGGGTTACCTTTTTGTTGTTTAGTTGTTAAGAGTGCTCTACTCTGGATACAAGATCCTAATGAAATATGACTTGTAAATATTCTCTCATTCTGTGAGTTGTGTTTCAATCTCCTGACAGTCTTTTGATGCTCAAAGTTCTTAAATTTGGTGAAATCTATTTTTTCTGTTGTTGCATATGCTTTTGGTGCCACATTTAAGTAACCACTGCCAAATCAAAGGCCATGAAGAGTTGTCCCTATGTTTTCTTCTTACAGTTTTATAGTTTTACCTCTTACATTTAGCTTTTTTGTTTCATTTTGAGTTAATTTTTGCATATGGTATAAGAATAGTCCATGTAACCATTACTTTTTCAAATGCTCAAAGCATTTTCCAATTCCCCTTCTGCTGATAAGTCACCTTTTGCCTGAGAAATCTTCCCTGAGTCCAGTGGGATGTCTGACAGTACAACATCCACTGCTAGAATGATGGGCGGACATGTAAAATTAAGCTAATCAGGGTTTCCCTGGACTCAAATGCTGATGCTGATGCTGTGGTTTCTAGAAGAAAGAAAACATGAACGTGGAGCTTCTGGGAGCCATTTTTCCTGCCACACAGAGAGAGCAATTCTGTGAGGGCAACAAAGAGTAGCTGAATCAGAAGATGAAGCCAGAGCCCTGGCAACACCGTGGCAGCCCTTAGATCTAGCCACAGACAAAGCCAAATAGATAATCAGAACTCAAAGAACGGAATAAAGCTCAAAGGCCTCCTGGCCCAGCCATGCCTGAAGTAAGCTGTGCCCCTGTATTTCCCAGTTATAAGAGCCAATAAATTTGCTGTTTTTTTTAGAGAGAGATGGATCTCTTTGTTGTTCCACTTATTTATGCATTCAATGGCTGATTCTTGTATGTGCCCTGATCAGGGCTCAAACCCACAACCTTAGCGTATCAGGACGATGCTCTAACCAACTGAGCTAGGTGGCCAGGGCCACAAGAGCCAATCAATGTCTTAACTGACTCATTTAAGTTTCTGTCACCTGCTACAAGTTCAAGGATTTGTATTGAATCTTCCCTTAGAAAATATAGAGTCCCACATATTTCTTAAGGGTTAGCACAAATTTGGCTATTAGCTTCCGAGTAGACAATGCAAATATGAAAACATAATGAGTTACTCAACTTAATGTCCATAAACTAAAATATCTCACTTAGATGGCCATATAGAATACACTGTGCTTGATTCTATGTGGCAGGAATATGGGTGACTATTTCCTTTTATTTTCTATTTTCACGTTAGTAAAAATATCAATAGGTAGAAAGGTCTTTGGGAGCAGGGAAGGAAAGGTAGGGTGAAGGACACTGGAATGTGGTAAAGGTGTCTTGAATACCTTCTAAGGAAGCGGTTCTCTAAGCATGATCAGGCAACCCCTAAAGGACCCTAAAGACTTTCTTGTGGTCCACAAAGTCAAAATTATTTTCGGAATAATACTGAGATAAGACATTATTTGCCTTTTTCATTCTCATTCTCTCATAAGTATATAGTTCCCCAGAGGCTACGTGGCATATATTAAAACAGACCAAATAAAGAAATTATCAGGATGTAGCCATCTTCTAGTAAGCTAGATGTAGATAGCAAGAAGACCTGCAAAACTGTGAAACAATGCCCTTCTCATTAATCTTTTTGAAAATAATTCTTTTTCATTTAAATTTTGTTTATATTAACATAAACGTGTTTATTTTTTTAAAGAATATTAACATGTCTCCATTTTAATTCCTAATACAGTAAATATCAATAGATTGAAGCCTCATGAACAAAAGCTCTTTGGGGTCCTCAGTAATTTTTAAGACTAGAAGGGGTCCAGAGACCAAATATTTTGAGAACTTTGCCCTATTCAATGATCAGTTTCATTTCACTTCCCAAGATGTCACAAGTTCTGACGGGGCAAAAATACAGTAAACATTTCTGTTTTAGAAGGTGATAAAATGTTCTAAAATTGATTATGCGAAAGGTTTCACAACTCTGAATATATTTAAAAATCACTAAATTGTCCTTTAAATGTATGAACTGTATGGTACGTGAATTATATCTCACTAAAACTCCTTTTAAAAAGTTATTGCAGATAAAATGTATAAGGACAAAGTATTAATTTCAATTGATGATTATTAAGTAAATCAATAACTAACACACCTATTACACATCAGTGGCCTATAAATATGTTAGGCATAGATAATGAGTGTTATAAAACCAGGAACGAGCCTGGCTGCCAGTTCGATTCCCAGTCAGGGCACATAGCTGGATTGTGGGTTTGATCCCCAGTTGGGGAGCGTACAGAAGGCAACCGATTGATGTTTCTCTCTCACATTCATGTTTCTCTCTGTCTCTCTCCCTTCCTGTCTCTAAGCATGTAAAAAATAATAATAAAACCAGGAACAAAAAACGAAGCAATAGAAAAAAATTAAGTACAATTTCCTTAAGAAGAAAAAAATTTTACCTTCCAAGAGTTTTTGACATGATGTATTGGTCTCTTAATTCCTTGGGATAAACTGATTGGTCATCTACAGTCAGATCGAAAAACACAAAAACTAAGGAAAAAAGGGGCAGAAATAGGTCTCATTAATTCATTAAAGAGAAGATTCATTAGATAGAGAAGATAAATGGTCCAAAATTTTAGTAAACATACAGAATATAAGCCAATTATTTTAATTACATATATCTAATCCTAAAGAATTATTTAGCTAGGCTAAAACATATCAGGAAATTCATGGGAAATAATGACAAATGTGACTCTTTAATGAAAATACAGTGTCGTTCTCACTATAGTGCATAAAATCCATACATAAGTACTAGTCTTATTCCTTGACCTCAAAATATTAATCAGTTACACTAATATAAAATACCCGTGCTGATCAGCACAAAACCAGAACCTAAAAGCCATTAGTTTGAGCCTAGAAAAAAACTGTTCTAAGCAAGTAAATAAACATCCCAAATAAAAATTAGGCCATAGGTTATCATACTAGAATTATCTTCTCTTAGCCATTTATACCTTTACATACCTGGTATTTTACGATGCAAACCATCTAGAACCTATTTGTAAAGTTAAATAAATAGCAATTTTCCCAAAATTCCCCTTTATTTCTCCATTATTCCTGCTGTATTTCAGAAGTGAAAACAAAACAATAAAACACCCTATTCATTTTCAGCCACCCACAGGAGCCAAGCCTGCAATCAGTTTGCAAACACTTCCATCCTACTAAGTCATCAATAAATTTGTAACTGCCTATAGTATCTTGAAAGAGTAAAATTTGTTAAGACCCTTGCGTTTCTCAGATTTGAGGTGATAGGTTTTGACCTCCCTGGAGTCACCTAGAGAACCAGTCAGTCTCTGACATAAACCTGAGCCCCCTCGGTATGCTTCATTCCAGGCTGGTCCACACGAGGCAGACACTTGCTTAGTGAATGAGGTTTGCTGGCCACCACGGATACAACTGTCCCTCTATGCTTGTGGACATTTATGAACCTAGATGTCCCAGTAGCATCTGAGAATCTGGGAATTTGAGGGGCTCTGGAGGTGTATTTCTCACAAATGTCCAGGTCTACGTCAGGGGCTATAAACCCAGTTGTCCACACAAGCCAGGAAGGTCATACACACAGAGCAGACTGGGTTGAGTATCTAAGACAACTGGGAGCAATAGGACTTGTACATGAAAACACATTGTCCATCTAAAAGAGGCAGCCTCTACTTCAGTGTAGGATTAGGTTCTGTGTGACCAGATATTCCACCTTATCAAAGAAATCTAGAATTTCATGTGAAAGTACAAATATCAGCAAATGCCTAATAAAATGTCTGTAAGAATTAGTAGTCTGTAGAGTACCAGTTTGACCTATCAATCAGGGCCAGCTTTAGCCTATACAACACCTTTGTTCAAATTAGAAAAGGTGCCCCATGGACAGACCAAGTGAAAAAGGTGGCACACAGCTTGTCAAATGGAGGAAAGGTAAAATTTCAGTGCCCAGGTGCTCCTCGACCAGGTGCTCTCAAACAGCAAAATCTATGCAGCTGTCCTGCCTATATCAGACAGTAAACAAAATAGTCACAAACAGGAAAAACTAAATCAATCATGAAATGCATTTTAGGATGCCCAGTATAGCCATAGTTCTCAGATGCCAGTCTGAAGACTGCATGACAATCACCTGGGCAGGATTTTTTAAAATCCTTGGAATTACTGAATCAGAGTATGTGGGAATCTGTATTTTCAAGGTGTTAAACCCACACACACATACCCTTCCAAGTCATTCAACTCTCATAGTTTTGGGAAGTTTTGTGGGTTTTGTGTTTTTTAAATCATCACTGGAGAAGATATTTGTATTAACTTGAGAGAAACGGGTAGGGGAGAGAAACACCAATCCATTGCCTCCTCTGTGCTCCCTGACTGGAGATTGAACCCACAACCTAGGTATGTGCCCTGACCAGTAATCAAACCCACAACCTTCTGGTGTATGGGAAGATGCTCCAACCAGCTAACCCACCCAGCCAGGCCTCTGTGGAGCTTTTTAAATTATTACTAAAGAAACAAGAGTATTCCTGCTGTCCAATTATTTAAAATCACTATGAGCTATGTTTAACTCTGTAAGTTGTTTCCGTCAATAATTCTGAGTTGAATGATAATTAATGGGTTTACATGTGATACTTATGAAGTTGTAGGAATGGGTACTTATGAAATGCCACCTGATGATGATAAACACCTCCACTTTCAGAGGATAACCAAGTGGTATTTAAGAAGATCTAAATTGAGATTCCTATTAAAAAAAATCCATAGCCTAATGCCTGGCATAAAATAAAGTACATTAAATATATGTAGGAAGGAAGGACTGGAAAGAATGAAGAAACAGAAGAATGAGGGAGATGAATTAATGGCCTAAAACAACTCATAGCTAAGGCTGATGTGGTATAAAATGCATCAACCAATGAACTACGAACTATCTTAAGCAATATGCTAATTAAATGAATAGCCTATGACTTAAAATAAAATTAATAAACCAATTAAGCCTTAGGAAACCCAACTGGATAGGACTTTTTCATAATTTAAAAATGCAACTAGGACTGAGTAGAATCTTGAATGCTAAGCTACTTATTTTTTAACCTAAATCATTTTCTGCAAAAAACACAATGTCAATTTTCCTTTTATATGGGACAAAACAGAATCCAATAACCATAAAATAATGATTTACCTTTGTTACTCCACACTGAAAGTGCAATTTCAGAATTGTTATTCAAAGGAAGGCGTCTTCCTTTCCCAACAAGCTCTCTATTTACAAAGGTTCCATTCCCACTGTGATCTTCTATATATGCGATGTAAGAGTTTTTAGGACCCATTTCCTAAAATAGAGAACATTTTATTTCAAAGTTTTAACAGTGGGGAGTTACCATGGGACACTATCTAACAGTGAACACTAGATTACCAGCTCTCCCCAGTACGTGGCTATTTGTCACCTACCCTGAAAATCCGAAAGTGCTTCTTGCTATAAGTTCGGTATTTATCCGTTCTTTTCAGCAGTGGCTCGTCAAAGCAGTATTCACAGCTTCTATCCCTCCCAAACCAGTAGTTGTCATTAACACACTCTGTAACACAGAAGCACACACCAGAGGGATGATGAATTTCATGTATCAAACACCTTTAAAAATTGCTCTACTAGCAGAGAAATAGCCTAAGGAGGCAATTGAAATTACAGATGTTTATCAAGATGTTATAAGATTAAAATGAGGGGGGAGAAGAAACAAAAACTTTCCAACAATGAGTTTAATAAATTACGGTTTACACACACCACAAAATAACAAGCAGTCATTAAAAGTCCTCAGACCATTTTTAATCATCGGGAAAATACTTATAATTTTCTACTCCCTACCTTCCTGAGACTTCCTATCAAACTTAGTATATCTGCACTCCTCATGGCAGGTTAGATGCTCAGGATCTGGCCCCTGATCCCTTCCAGCCTCACCTTGTGCCCCTCTCCTTACTCACTCCAGCCAGGCCCATTGGCTAAAGATGTCAGGCCGAACCTATCTTGTGGCCTTTGCATTTTTTGTTCCCAGTGAGTTTAATGGCCACTTTGCCTTTGTGTCTCGACTCAAATTATATTCTCCCACTCAGTTTTCTGTATAAGCAGACCCCCACCTCACCACCCACCTGTTATCATGATGATAGCCTGTTTTGTTTCCCTCTAAGTATGGACCATAACTGGAAATTATCTTGATTATTTGTATATTGTCTCCCCATATTCCCGTTAGAACATAAACTCCAGGAGGGCAGCCTTGGGTCTCTTGTTTAAGAGTACAGCTCCAGCCCAGCCAGCATGGCTCAAGGGGTTGAGCATCAACTAGGATCCAGGAGAAAGGGGGTTCGATTTCCTGTCAGGGCATGTGGGGAAAGGAAGAGATACATTGTTTTTGACATGTGAGTTGAAAGTTCCGATAAATTCTTTTCTTTGCCAGGAATCTAGGCCTCTTCAAAGTTCAAACTCACTGTCCTCCTCTCAGAGGATACTCTATCACTGAAAAAATTAAGGGCATCTGGGAAAAACTAACCTATCTCTCCCTTTGGTCCCATTTAGTCCCAACCTTTGGCTTATCTCCCTCACCTCTGGTTTAAAATTATTTCCCCATTTAACAGATGAGGGCCGTGAGGCTCAGAGAAGTAGCATCATTTGCCTGAGGTCACAGAGCTAAAGCCAGAGCTAGGACTTGAACCCATGTCCCTCTGATGGCAGCACCCTCACCCTTCCCCAACTCACCCAACTATACTCTTATTTTCTTCCCACTCAAGCAGTTTTTTTAAAAATGTGTTTTTATCAATTTTAGGGAGAAAGAAAAACATAGATCAGCTGCCTCCTGCATGCCCTCTACTGGAGATGAAGCCTGAAACCTGGGCATGAGCCCTGACCAGGAATGGAACCAAAGATGCTCAACCAACTGAACCACACTGGCCAAGACCCCACTCAAGCATTTTAAATCTCTCTCTCTCTCTACCTTTTTCTCTCACACTCACTTCATTTGTAGCAAGCCTTCCTTAGGCTGCACAGTCCCCTTTGGTTGCTAATTTCATTACCTTTCTTACCCTACTCACTTCTTTCACAATGACACATTAATAACATAAGTCTAAAGTCTAAAAGTTGTAGGTTCATATCTTTCCTCTACCAACTACTGGCTGTATGACTGTAGACAAGTTTATCCATTTCTCTCTAAGCCTCAGTTTGTTCTTCTGTAAAATGGAAGCAAGGCTAATACCCTCATAGGATTATTTTGAAATTTAAAAAGATAGTCCCAACACTCCACCCAGCATCAGGTGAGTAGAAGCTGTTTTAGTACAGGGAAGATGACAGGTAATGGCACAAGTTCAAGTCTCAGCACAGGTTCTTGTGGTCCTAGATCAATTTGTACAGGCCCCACAACTGGCAGTGTCTTGAGCTTTCTGCAGCAACAAATATCTGTAATTGTTTTTCTGAACACAATATTAATATTACACTATGTAACAAAGGGTCTTACCAAGATTGGAGAATCCATCCTGAAGGGCCCATAATCGAGCCCAAGGGGCAGGGACCGGCTCCTCAGGTTCTTGGTCCTCAGGAATAGAATACAGTTCCTGAGTAGACACTGTGTCTAAGGAGCTCAGTGTCCCCGAGCTGGAGTGAGAGGACTGGCTGGACGTTGGCACTGTGCTGGTGGAGGAGCTGGATGTGCCCTGGGACTGTGAGGAGGAGCCTTGTGTCTGTGAGGAGGGGCCATGGGACTGCGAGAAGTCACCTTGGGACTGCGGGCAGGCACTGCTGCCATGGGACTGCTGACACTCCACGTCCATCTCCCGAGACATCACGACCTCAAAAATAAGCATCCAGCAATAAGGTGAGTTTCAGGGAACAAGACTTAAAGCTCAAAAGTGAAGGATGAGGCTCTGGCAGGGTAGCTCTGTTGGTTAGAGCCATCATCCCAACACCAAGGTTTCGGTGCGCAACTCCAGTTATTTGCTGCACCACTCCAGGGGGCAACATTTACACAAAAGGTCACTGATACCCCTCCTACCCCAAACCAGTTCCGGAAGGTAAAGACCAAGTTCTGTTGGTAGATTAGAGATTCCTCTACAGCTAAATGCTGGGCCACTTAATGAGACAACACAAAGACTGCTATAAACAACTCCATCTAGCTTTTTGTGATGCTAAGTAACTAAAATGTGGCTGGCCAGCCCTTCAGAATCTTGCAGGAATGATTCTTTGAGCCACAAAAGACCATTAAAGAGGTTCCCACCCTTCCTTTAGAATTAATTTAATGCCCAGGTAAACTCTGAACCTATAGTACAAAGTAATTTTCAATCTCAAACTTTAAATCCCTAATCTGATTCTTTTTTAAAGGTACTTTCTCTCCTGATCCCCACACTCAGACTAATCTTCCAGGAGAACTTAATAAGCATTACTCACACTGACTGCATTTACACAGCTTTCCAGATACAAAGGTCCTGATGAATTTTCCTTGAAGCACACCAGGAAGGTGATGCCAGAGCTGAGTCTGCCACTACAGCTATCTCACTCAGGCTGTGTCCTTCTGCAGTTTTTGGAGCAAGACTTCTCCACCCTGAAATTGGCAAAAGACAGTGTGTTAAGAGGTATCTATCATCGAATATGATAAATAAGGGTCAATCAGGTGGGGACCACACTGGCTTCAGCCATGAAAAAGTACAGTGGAGTGTTTAGAAGCAAATAGGTCTGGAGTCAAGTGCCTGAGTCAAATCTTTGCATGACCTTTAGGTAGATCACAACCTCTTGGAACCTTATCTGATAAAAGTAGATACTGAGGATTAAATAAGATAATGCACGAACACTCCTCCCCCAGCAATGCTTGATTATTGGGAGAACAGAACTCCAGTCCTAAGGAACCCAAGAGCACCTAACAAGTGCAACACTTTTTTTTTTCCAAACAAGAGAATCCTAATCCCAAGGAGGAATGATGCTCCCCTGCCCTCTCCTCGCCACCCCATTCCACACACTTACTTACGGGCACTTTGCACGGGATCCTCCTACACAGGTTGGTGTGTTTCCAGTTCCTGCAATGCCTAGCAGGTAAGAGTGGGTATTTTCGAGATTGAACCTAAATTATTAACACTTATAGAACTCTTCACGAAGCAACTTTGCTCTGATTTTGAAGAGCACAACTTTGTTTCTAATCATGCACGTCTGGGCGAGTTGCAGCTTCTAAGTAAACAGGGGAAATGAACTTCACCTGGAAGTTCATCTACAAAGAAGGAAGAGAGTCGCCCACGCATTCCTCTCCCACCCCCCGCCCGAGCTCAACTCGCGGAAACTTAGCTCACATTACGACCCTAAGGACGGGATTCGAACCCCAAACACCCGAGGAGATGTTTCCCACTAACACTCACCGCGTGAGCCCACCTGGAGTCAAGCACTCTCAGCAGCTCCAGGAGCCGCGTGGCGCTCAACAGATACAAACTCCACCCTCAACCAATCAAAACACCTCTCTGCCGCGGCCGGACCAATGAAAAGCAGCGGATGTGGTCATCCAAGGGTGGCCTCGCTGCTTGCTGGGAGTTGTAGTTTATAACATAGAGCGGGACTCAGAGTCCGGGTTTCCCGAGTGATCTTCAGCTCTCCAGCCAATCAGCAGCGCTAGTCTGGTCTGCGGCTCTGGTTCGTTTGACCCCCAACAGGTGACCGCCGCGTAACAGGCCCCGGGCCAGATGTGGGGCGGGAGGAGCGGGGCCTTGCCCCGGGTGTGGGGGTTGTGGCTGACAGGGGTCCTCGGAAGGCGACCGCTAAGCGGCAATGCTGCGTCGCTAGCCGGAAGCAACTCCCCCCAGTGTTGGAACTGCGGCGGCCCAGGGGGTCCCATTCGGGGGGACGGGTTCTTCTGCCCACAGTGCCGGGCGCTGCAGCCGCCTGACCCCACTCGAGACCACTTCAGCCTCATGGACTGGTACGGGAGGCGGTTTCGGGAAACGCGCAGGGCGAGAGAGACCGCAGGAGCTGGCGTGCGAGAGGGAAGGGCCGCGCAGGTTGGGGAAGAGGAAGGTGGGGCCGGTTAGATGGGTGGGCGGAGCCCTAGCGGCGGGAGGACGGGGCCTGGGAAAATGGAGGATAGGGTGTGACCAAAAAAAAGTGGAAACTGAGGAGCAGGCCGGAGGAGGGAAGGGCTTCCAGGGCTGGAGGCGACTGTGAGGAGAGGGTGGCAGGGGCGGGGAATACAGCTCCGGCGGCGGCCCCGAGGCGGACTCGGGGGGCGGGGCCTGAGAGCGAGGAGACTTGAGGGATGGGGTCCGAACGATTCAATTTGAGTGGAAACTTTTAAGAAAGGAATACCGAGGTGTTATCCAAGATAAAGGGAGTAAAAACACGGAAAAAAAAAACTTCATATCATGGGCGGAGTCTAAAGGAAAAGTGAGAATTGGAGGGAGAAGATCTGAGAAATGAGTGTTTTTCCTGTTTTCTCCTGAAGGTTGAGGAGTTTGAGAGGTGGTGAAGTTTGGGCAGAGCTAAACTGATTAGATAGGGCGGGATCCGGGAATAGAAATCAAAAGGGGTTGGATTAAAACAAGGTGAGTGATTGAGACGAAGGGGCCGGGACCTGGGAAAGATGGGGCGGGATTCAGGAATGCCCCTTAACTCTGGGATCTGCCCCGACCAGTCATTGAGCGCTTAGGATGGGCTGCTGTAACAAAACTAACCTCTGTAAGTCCCTCAAGGGTGCCAGACTAGCTTATTTCCTCTGTCTGGATGACTCTTTCCTGTGATCTTTGATTGCTCACCGTCATTCAGGTCGCAGCTCAAATGCCATCTCTTTGTCCGCCACACGTACCACTCTTTCGGACCCTATTCTGCTTTTCTTCAGAGAACCTACCGCTTTTGGAAATTATCCTTGTCTGCAATTTTATTGCATATTCTCCCATGGGAACAGGAACTAGGCCCATAGCATAAAATCTATAAATATCTGATGCATGAATTTCATCTCCCAATTTCCTTCCAGCAATCGTTCCTTCAAAGTTGATACTGCAAAGCTCCAGCATAGGTACCAGCAACTACAGCGTCTTGTCCATCCAGATTTCTTTGGCCAGCGGTCTCAGGTAGTTTATTGGCCACCCTTAATCATAATGAAACACATGCGCATTCTGGGTGGGTGGCGGTGGCCTTGTGGTTATTTGATTATCAGGGACAGAGCTGGACAGCCAGCTCCACCCTGTGGTAGCCAGGCCCCAGCTAGCCAGGCCCTGGACCTGTGCTGCAGAATTAAAACCCATCAGTTGAAAATAAATGCAGCTCATCCCACACCAGTTCTACTTCAGCCACGGCCTTAGGTTCCTGCCCATCAGTATTTTATGAAACAGTTTGTTCATGTAAGATGGCTGATTTGGATAGTAATAAGACTAACTTCATCTCCACTAACAGACTGAAAAGGACTTCTCAGAGAAGCATTCGACCCTGGTGAATGACGCCTATAAGACCCTTCTGGCCCCCCTGAGCAGGGGACTATACCTTGTAAGGTGATTTTCCAGCCCCTCTATGTGTGACTACCTGGTATCCATTGCACTAAGGGACAGCTGCTCCCCCATATTCAGCAGAGGAGTGCTTGAGCCCTGAGCCAGTCCAGGGACCCAGAGATACTACACAAGTATAGTTTTTTCTGAATATTATCTGTAAATATTACTTAACCAATTGCATTTTTAAAAAAACATTTCCTATAAATTTCAAGGATTGGATGGAGATGGCTTTTAGGAAAGCAATTTGGGGGGCTTGTGGGGAGGGTGGAGGTACCTTAGAATTTTAGGGTTTAATAGAATCTTTACAAATATTTAAATCTCATGAGTAGAGGAATGACTCCCCCAGGGTAACACACTTCTAAGTAGCAGAAAGGGATCCCCTCCAAGCATTCCTTTCTCAGTCTAAGTTTCCAGCACACTGCCCTCACACTTTCATTATTAGGACAGTTCAAGTTTTGGCTGAGTGGTATTCTGTTCAGAAGGGTGAGTAAGATTTATGATGTTGGCCACAGTTTGTTGAACAAAACTTATTTCCCCTGCTTTATGCCCCGATAGCTAAAGCTCCATGGAGTAGAGATTCCTGAAGGAACAGATTATGAAATGGACAGGCAATTCCTCATGGAAATAATGGATATCAATGAAAAACTCGCAGAAGCTCAAAGTGAAGCTGCCATGAAAGAGATTGAATATATTGTAAGAGGTAAAAGATAAAATACCACCGAATGTATTTTATTGCTATTATGAGTTCATTTCTGTGGTTAAGTGAAAAATGAATATAAAGAATACATATTGGTCATCATAATGATTCAGGGAGTATTTTTTTTCTTGAGTATACTAAAACCAATTTTGTCTGGAAGTTAGACCTGTAACATCTGGAATGCAGCCTTATCTTTATATCACAAGTCTATTTAAATAGAAAAATTAAGAGAATGGTTTTCTCTTTCAGCTAAACAGGAAGAATTGACTGACTGTGTGAGCAGAGCTTTTGAACAAGGTACTGTCTTCATTTCTTGGCTTTCTCAAAAATGGAAAGAAATTGTAAACACTGAGGTACAAACATCTATTCAACAAGTAGCTATTATATACCCATCTTGTGATAGTTACATGGGGAGATATTAAATATAGGTGAGTGTACATTTTTGCCTTCAAGCCAAGATTCCTCCATCAGGCTTCACCTTCAGTGGGTGACTTCCTCTCTTCTCAAGGTCCCCAAAATATCCTAAGTTTCCTGGATCTTCCAGAAGTTACCTTACTTACTCATCTATAAGGCTGGGAACTCTTTAAGCCAGATACCAGGCTGATTTTTTTCAAGAGGGCTTTGTAAGCATTAGCTCCAAAGAGTCAACCCTAGTTCCTTAAAATTCTCTGGTCATATCTGATTTTATGCATCATTTTCAAATATGACATTCCAGTCAGAGCTTTCATAATGCAACTGGTGTTTTTAATTATGTTCTATCACAAAGAGGACAGATTCTTATTGAATGCAAATAACTGTATTGCTATGAAAATAAGAATACTCAATAATAGTTCCCAGTGAGAAGACTTGATTCTCTTAAATAATCAAGGACAGGATCAAGACAACATGAAGCACAGGAAAAATATTAAGATACTTTTATTGATTTTTTTTTTTTTTATATATTTTTATTGATTTCAGAGAGAGGAAAGGAGAGGGAGAGAGAGTGATAGAAACATCAATGATGAGAGAGTCATTGATCAAGCCTGAAACCAGGCATGTTCCCTGACCGGGAATCGAACCTTGATCGCCTGGATCTTAGGTCGATGCTCAACAGCTGAGCCACGCTCGGCCGGGCCTTTTATTGATTTTTAGAGAGAGAGGAAGGGAGAGTGAGAGAGAGAAACATCGATGTGAAAGCCAAACATCGAATGGCTACTTCCTGCACACTCCCTACCCAATTGCTCTGACTGGAAATCGAACCGGCACCCTTTTGGTGCACGGGACGACGTCAACCAGCTGAGCCACACCGCCCAGGGCCACAGGAAATTATTTTGAGAAAACAAAGAATATATGTCTCCAAAAGGTAAAGAAAAGCCTCTTACAATCTTTTATTAAGAGCAGACCAACAATCCAAGAAACTTTGTCATTAATAGAGAGAAAAACAAACTCTGGTTTTATATCAGTAGAGCACTGATATTAAAGTTCATTTCAAAAACACACTTAATATGTAAATCCACTTAATCTTAGCCAGCTTTGACCTCACAACATAAACATTTCCTTTTCCACAAACCTACAACTTTGTTTAATATCCATGCAGATTTTCTCCAACTCTTTCCCTCTTTCACAGCCTACTTTAGGACAAAATCACTCTCCTTTTTATCTTAACAAAAACACATTTCTCCATTCCTTGTATACTTTTCATATAAAAACACATCCGACTTTTCTTCCATACTTTGTATACAAAGTTGTTTCCCTTCACTCTCATTGTTTGTAGTAGTTTTGGTTTTTGTGTGTTTTTTTTTAATTTATTTTAAATTTAAACTATTAGTAATCTTTAGTTTACAAAGAAAATTAAGAAGTAGATAATGGAAAATTATTATATACCGGTATTCCATAAGCAGATTAGCAAATTTTATGAATATACCATCGTATAATCTCTAGAGGTATATGCTTCTTATAACACTCTTTTTTTTGGTTAATCCTCACCCGAGGATATTTTTTCCATTGATTTTTGGGGGAGGGGAGAGAGAGAGAAACATCTGTGTGAGAGAGACACACATCGATTGGTTGCCTCTTGCACACCCCCCAGCCAGGGCCAGGGAGCAAACCTGCAACCCAAGTATGTGCCCTTGACTGGGAATGGAGCCCGTCACCCTTTGGTGTGTGGGCCATCGCTCTATTCACTGAGCCACACCAGCCAGAGCTATAACACTTTTTTTTTTAATGTGGTGAGAACATGTTTATTAACAGACCCAAGTATCTTTGGCTTCTCTAGACCATATGAAAATAAGCTGCCCTGGGCAGGTGGCTAAATTGGTTGGAGCGTCATCCTGTGCACCAAAAGGCTGCGGGTTTGATTTCCTGTCAGGGCACATACCTAGGCTGCAGGTTCAATCCTTGGTCGGGGTGCATGCAAGAGGCAACCAATTGATGTTTCTCTCACATTAATGTTTCTCTCTGTCTCTCTCTCTTTTCCTCTCTCTCTAAAAAGCAATTAAAAACACCAAAAATACCCTTGGATGGGGATTTAAAAATAATAAAATAAAAAATAAGCCAAAATATATAAACTAATGCTTAATAATGAATGTTGTAGCACTTTATCTTATTTAGAAATTAGATATTTAATGAATATGTTATTTAACTTAGCATATCTTTAAGGTTGCAAGTTGCCAAAAAGATTTTAGAAATGGATTTTAGGTGACATATTATAAAACACAATTATCATTGAAATAGATTTTCAAAATAATTTAATTCGAGTAATATCAACTTTATCATTTCTATAATCTTAAATATCTAATATTAGTTTGACTAGTAAATCCAAGTAGAATAAACATGTGTGCTTGCATTATATTTACTGTTGACAACTCTGAAAACACCTGTTTTATTAAACCGACAATATTAAACTAAGTCTTTACCAAAGATTGATTCAAATTATGTGAAACTGAAAAACATTTGAGTTAGGTCCTATATTTTTGGATGTTTTATTAAGATTTCATTTATACAAATCTTATTTCTCTCTAATCCAATTAGGATACAACTCCCTTAAGGGATTTTATAAATTAACTTGGTAAGACCATCCAGAGGTAGGAAAATATCATTTATATATATAAACATAACAGACCGGCCAATGCAAATAAACATCTTATGGTTTTTCATTCTAAGATTTTAGGCATAAGTCAGACATAAATAAATATAATAAAATAAAACTCATTAGTTTACATAGAAGAGTGGTTCTCATTTTTGCCCCATTTTGTATATTTATCTAGACTGAATTTCTGGTAATGGAGAAAGTTAAAGGTTACCTCCTCAACATGAAGGCCAAAGCTTTCCACCAATATTTGTGAAAAATACCTTTAAGATGTTTTTTTGCCTTTATATGTAATCTTATGTAAACTGTAGACTAAGTATCTGTTTCCAGTTAGCTTTTTTCTTATTATTCATCTTCAGACTGTTGCTTTTGGGAGCACCTGAGTCCCTTGAGAGCACCCAAGGGGGGACAGGGAGTCCAAAATTCCAGGGATTATAGGAAGTTGAGGGGTGAGAGTGGGAGGGAAAGGTCTGGCAGAGTAGACAGAGGGGTGGAGGAGGTAGGGGCTTGAAGGGGGACATATCATAGGATACAGGGAAGCTGAAGAGAAGACGGCAGGTGGTAAAGAAGGAAGGAGAGGCCTTGGAGGCGATAGTTTGAGGAGATCTTAAGTTTCCCAAAGAAGCCACAAAAGTTCCTAAGTAAAGTCATACTGTCTAAGAAATGGACAGAGCACATGGTGACGTACAGTCAGCAGGAGTTCAAGAAGAAGGGAGGTTTCAGTCGACTGAGAAGTTCCAGTGGCGGAGCTGACTCAGAGAGAACAAAGAGGCCTTACAAGGAGCCAGGAAAAAGAAAATTTCAGGCCCGGAAGTCACTCCTTATTTGAAACAAGGATCCAGGAAGACTTCTTAGCCCAGGGGTACCTTTCAAAAGAAGCCTGGGACTCTAACCCAACTTGCTTCAGAGAGTATAATCAGAATTGTAAGAATCAAAATCTGTCTTCACTCTGCAGCTTCAACAGACATTTGTCTAGAGAACTGAAGTTGGACTCACCACCAGGTCCCAAACGAGCATCAGACTAGAGATTAGACAAAGGCCTCAGCATGTTGAAAGGTCTGGTTGTTATAACCAAGAGCTCAATGGTGTTTCCGATCCAGATCTGAGTCACTGTGCTGCATAATTTTCAAAGATAAACAAAGCCAAACATTAGTTAAAGTGCTAAGTAGAGATTTGAATCAGTAATAACTATTGCAATAGGGAAAAGAGTCCAGTGGAAACTAAACAAAACTACAGTTTGTGACTGGGCAGGTTAACGGGAGAAAGAGGAAGTGGGGTGGTGCGGCACAGGGGGCAGTAGAGTCAGGGAAGTGAAAAATTCCAAAAGCAGAAAGGAAGAAGCTGGTCTATGCGAAACCCGCCTGGGTTTGCTAACTGGCACTCATTGAAATTAGGCTCCTACCCTCCCACAGAGCCTGGGAAGCAGGGGCTCTATCTTTAAGTATTGGCTTCAATAAATAGTAAATTCTTTTGGCAGCCTTGAATTTACTCAGGCAGGCATTTTAAGGGGGACTAGGATTATCCTAGCGTCTGTTAGTACAGGTCAAGGTTAGTATAGGCCTAGGTGAGAGGAGAGCGCAGAAGAACCTGGCTGGAGTTGGGTTGAGGACAGAATTTTTGGCAGCTGCACATTCATAGCTGTTTTTCATAGCTAACCAGTGGGAGTATCCCAAGTATCTATCAGTGGTTGATGGGTAAACAAAACACGGTATATCCATACAATGGAATATTATTCAGCCTTAAAAAGGTGGGAAATTCTGACACATGCTACAACATGGATGAACTTTGAGGATATTATGCTAAGTAAAATAAGCTAGTCACAAAAAGATAAATACTACATGATTCCACTTACATGAGTAGTCAGATTCATAGACAGTAGAATGGTGGTTTCCAGGGGTTGGAGTTACGGGGGAATAGGAAGCTACAGTTTCCTAGGTACAGTGTTTCAGTTTTGCAAGATGAGCATTCTGTGGCTAAATTGTGCTGTTGGTTGCACAACAATGTAAATGTACTTAATGCCACTGAACTCTACAATTAAAAATGGTTACAATGGTAAATTTTATGTGTATGTTGTCACAATTAAAAGAATTTTTAAGTACAAAAAAAATAAGTATAGAACATGTCCACTGCCTTCCAACCCCCCATTAGGCGCTTTGCAGGTACACCCTGCTTCTACCATAACCACTCCTCTGAATTTTATTAATCATTTCCTTGCTTTTCTTGATAGTTTTAACCATATATGAATATAATGGTATATTATTTAGTTTTACATATATCTAAGTCAGGGTTTCTCAACCTTGGCACAGTGAACATGTTGGGCCAGATAATTCTTTTTTCTTTTTTTTTTTTAAATATATCTTTATTGATTTCAGAGAGAGGAAAGGAGAGGGAGAGAGAGAGATAGAAACATCAATGATGAGAGTCATTGATCAAGCCTGCAACCCGGGCATGTGCCCTGACCGGGAATCGAACCCCGATCGCCTGGATCCTAGGTAGACGCTCAACCACTGAGCCACGCCCAGCCGGGCGGGCCAGATAATTCTTTAGGGGCTGTCCCCTACACTATAGAATATTTAGCAGTGCCCCTGGACTCTACCCACTAGATGTCAGTATTATCTTCCCAGTTGAGACAACCAAAAATGACTCCAGATACTGCCAAATGTCCCAGTGGGCGCAAAATCACCCCCACTCTAGAACCACTGGTTTAAGGGCTTCATTCCCAGAACTGAGATACAGAAACAGCCCTTCCCCAGTGTTTCCCCATCTTCCTCAGGGTTAGACCACCATGTACAATATAGGAAAACTCTTAAAACACCCATTTATAACTTGGGGACTGTCCTGGAGAGAATCAGCTTCTCTTATTTAAAATCTGAACCCTGTAAATAAACATGCTTTTGCCTTCATTTGATTAGACCCTCTGTCCCCTTAACAACCCAGATGTTCTCCCTCTCTTGCTCAGATTTACTGAGTAACTGATCAGCCCTCCAGAGGCAGGGGCTCAACTTGAATCCAGCTGCTTTAGTCAATAGATTTAGTTTTATTCTTGCTTGAAATGAAGTCTCACGTTAATGTCTCTGTTTATTTCAGATGATTTTGAAAAAGCCAAGGAAATTTTAACGAAGATGAGATACTTTTCAAATGTAGAAGAAAAGATCAAGCTAAAGATGATTCCCCTCTAATTGTTTCTAATTTTAAAGTTTTAAAAATAAAGTTCTTATATATTTCTTTTCTGGCTTCTGCTAATTGAGACTAGATATGCTTTAACTGCTTCCATCATCTTAATTAAACCTGTGGCCCAAGCATTAATGGATGGCAGAGTTTGTCATGCCAGTGAAAACAGCCTAGCCAGAGTTTGAGTGTTCAATTTTTCGTGTGATGCTGACACACCATTCCCCCAGCTGGACCAATGGGTGAGGAGGTGGGGCTAGGGCCCCTAGAGGAGGGGTTTAGCAAACTTTATGCAAAGGGCCGAGTAGTAAATATTTTAGGCCTTATGGGCCATACTGCCTCTGTTGTAACTACTCGACTTGCCATTGTAGCACTTTATTTACAAAACAGGCATTGGACTAGATCTGGCCACGGGCTTGCCAGCCTTTGCCCTAGAATCACATCTTCCTAAAGGCAAGACCTTCACTGATAGATAGTCCTCTTGTTTGCATGGCCTTCAGGGCATTCTGTTTGGTAATCATGCAAATCTGCCTAAGGGTCTCTGGCCTACATTTCAAAGTATAGTTAATACTATCAAGAATCAGTGTGGTATTAAACACCACATTTTCAACTCCACCCTGGGATAAAGCATTTTTAATTTCTCTGGACAGTTGACAATCTTGTCATGATTTCCATGCTCTTCTAACCCAGCTTGAAGCAACTCTGCTTCCCCTTTTGGATCTTTGGAAATTCAGTTTTAGGTCTTGATTCAATTCCAAAAATTTTTTTTAAAAAAGTATTTTTTAAGTCTCTGAATCAAAGACGTTTAAAATAGAAATTTCTGATTTAGAAATTCCAGGAAACAACATTTAAACTCTTGTAGAGAATTGCTTGTTTTATAATCGTAAAAATTCAGAGTCTGAAGCACGGTTTACATACTACCAGAGCTTAAAACTGCAGCCCTCCCTCATCCTTGTCTAAGAATTTATATCTTCTGCCCTAGCAGGTTTGGCTCAGTGGTTAGAGTGTCGGCCTGTGGACTGAAGGGTCCTGGGTTCAGTTCCGGCCAAGGGCACATACCTCAGTTGCAGGCATGATCCCCGGCCCCAGTCGGGGCGCGTGCAGGAGGCAACCAATTGATGTGTCTCCTTCACATCAGTGTTTCTCTCTCTCTCCCTTCTACTCTCTGAAAAGCAATGAAAAACATATTCTCCAGTGAGGATTAAAAAAATTTATCTTCTGAATCCCAATCCAGTTATACTCAGTAACATTTAAGGATTTATGGGTCTTCTGAAGGAAAATTGACCACAGCAGCTGTCTGGCTTAATGTTACTTGGGAACATCCATATAATCTCCAACCCCTCACAGTTTACAAAAATGAGTTACATGTCTGCAAACACACAGGGAGCCCTTTAAGTAAATAATTACAATGCAAGCAAATGTCCTGATTAAATTGGGTCCTTCTGTGGAGATGAAAGAAGTGTTTGATATACTTCCATAGACAATCTTTATTCCTTCTTCAGAATGATCAGGACCAAAACAATCCGACCACAAAAAGAAATCATAAATATTGCCTCAAATGACAACCCTGGAGGAACTTCAAAGAAACTTTCCCTTACCTGTTGCCACCAACTGGAAAGGTCACTGGGCTTTCCAGCAAATCATTTCTGACTTGGGGGATAAATAAAAAAGACTTTATTTCTGAGTCATGGCTTCTGAGTCAGTGGGATTAACACACACACATACACTTCCAAATTCTTTCTCTTTCAGTCTAAACTCTTAAGTTTAGCTGGACTTCTAAAGCCAGGAATGCTTTCAAGTGTTCCCTGACAAAGCCCTGTGGAAGGTATGCTGCTAGACATCTGAGAGGTTAGCAGCTCTACTTGGATTAAAGTTTCTGACTCAGTGAAGCAAATTAAGCACCCACCTCCCAACCCCACATCATTCCTAGTAAAATGTCACAACAAATCAGAGGTCGTGACTAATTTTGAGACTATGTCTGCTCTGGTGTCAGACAGGCATGGTGTCATGGACCAAGTGTGCTCCCCCCCAAAAAAATGCCTATGTTGAAGCCCATGCCACTAGTGGGGCTGTATTTGGAGATGATGTCTCTAGGGAAATAAAGTTAAATGAGATGATGAAGGTGGGGCCCTGTTTCGATAGGATCAGTGTCCTTATAAGAAAAGAAACCAGAGAGCTCCTTGGTTCATTCTGCCCACACTCATGCACTGCAGAAAGGCCCCACGAGGAAGCCAGGAAGAAGGCTGCTATGGACAAGTCAGGAGGAGACTCCTCCCCAGAAACTGAAACCGACAGTGCTGGCACCTTGATCTTGGACTTGCAGCTTCCAGACTCTGAGAAAATTAATTTCTGCTGTTTAAGCTACGTGGTCTATGATATTTTGTTATGGTAGCCTGGGCTGACTAATATGCCTGGGTTTCAGTCCTAGCTTTGCCACTTATATGCTGTGAGTCCATCATTGTGCTAAGCTTCATTTCTTCTTAAAAATGGTGATAACAATAGTGCCTATCTCACAGAGTTATGAAGGTTAAATGAAATAAGTTATCTATGCAAATTAGCACAGTGAGTTGCACATAGTAAGCACTCAAATGTGATTTTTTTCAATGATAGTGGCTACTTTTATTATTTTCACTTTGGCAACACAGGGTAGCCTTTCAACAAAGTTTCAAGCACCTACTTTGTGTAAGAGAATGCTCACTCCTGGAGAGATGCACAGAACAGTTAGATGCTTCCTGTCTAATTCGGGAGAGGACTTTTACACCAACAACTGAAACAATAATAAAAGTTCCCATTTGCTGCTCAGTTACTGCGTGCCAGGCACTGTGTGCAGTACTTCACATGAGTCCATCAAATTAAACCCAATTCAACTCTTTTTACAGATGAAGAAACAAGTTCCCAGAAGGTAAGACGGTCAAGAGCTGGGATTCAAATCCAGATCTGTCTGCAAAGCCTGTGCTCTTAGGGAGCCTGAACCCACCAAGATTAAACCGAGAGAATTAAACAACTTTTACAAGAGGAGTCATTTGGCCTGGCTGGATGGTTATATTTTATATTTTGTCTTGCTTCCTTTGTTTCAATTTCTCAGAGAAGTGGGGAAACATCACTAGGACCTCATGGATCTCCTGCTCACAATAGCACACACCAGTAGCAGACAAGGTGGTTTGAATTGCAAACTTCCTTAAGCCACCTTGGTTGTGCATAACTATCAGGTTCCTCTCCGTATCACAAACCACTAAGTGTATGAGGTAGGTAAGAGTTGGCTACTCTCCCATCACCTTTCTACTGTGATTTCTTTTTTCACCCATTGGTTCAACCAGGTTTTAATGAAAGCAAGTTTCACATAGAAATCCGTCTGTGTTAAAGGACATTTAGCAAGCAGGACTGAAACAGTCAAACAACTTATTCTAGAATATCCAAGTTCCAGCTCTGTTCCTCTGTTTCTCCAAAACTCCTTACCCATATGGTTCATCTGAGGCAAATGGAAAAGTATTCTAGTGGCAGGATATGGCCAAGAACCCTCCCCACCAGTATGGGGCACAGGACCGCTTAAGAATCAAACCTGGGGTGCCGTCTTGAGTGTGGGAGGTTTAAGAGCTCGCTGGATTTTTATACCTTATTAATGTCAGTATGAAAACACCTCTAGTAATTCTAGTTAATATATATCTTAAACACCACTCATCTTACCCATGAAAAACTCACTCTAACATTGCTAATGTTAATGGGCAGAAACCGCTAGAGTTCAGAAGACAGAAGATAGCTAAAGCACTTGTAAGAGCTGCCTTTGATTAACTTTTTTCTTTAATCCTTACCCAAGGATATTTTTTTCCACTGCTTTTCAGAGAGAGAGAGAGAGAGAGAAACATCAATGTGAGAGAGACACATCGATTGGTTGCCTCCTGCACGCGTCCCGTGGATCCAACCTGCGATGGACAGAGGTACGGTGCCCTTGGTCCCAGGATTAAACCCGGGACCCTTCGGTCCAGAGGCCCACGCTTTAACGACTGAGCCAAACCGACTAAGGTGGACTTTGGTTAACTTTCCTTGCCTTTGTAGTTAGGGAGGAGCATAACCTGCCCTGGGGTGGATCAATGCCAACACGCACGTTCTATCACACTTTGCATGCAGAAATAATATAAAGAAAATTGTGGACCACATCACAGTGTAACGCAGGGGCAGAATTTTCTTAATAAACCCAGTTTCATTTTTTTAAACACGTGTGAGAGCTGTGAGAACAAAGTATAATAAATAGCCAAGAAGTGCACAGGAGCCACTCCATTGTTCCTCGGGACAACGTGAAAACAGGGGAGATGGTTCACTGCTCAGACCAACTGCCCATATATCCTGCCCCAGTCATGGGCACCAAGGAAACCAAGGAACACTGTGGGCCTTCTCATTGATGTTAACCCCAGAGAGCCGTGTGAAAACCCCTAATTTCCTATTTTCAAGCCTGCTCTTGACCGAATACATTCCAAAAGGTACTGCAAGAGTTTAAAATAGGACCACTTGTCATTGTCTGTGATCAACAATAGCTCCTTTCTTCTGGCTCCAAAAGCATCACAGATATTCCACATACTGGAAAGGTCTGTTTGGATGTAAAACGTGGTGGTGGTTACCAAGAGAAGGATAGATGTATCCAAGGTTCAAGGTGAGAGAGAGGAATAGAGAGAAAGCCAGTAGAAATTTGAAGAAAATCCAAATTGCTAGATGCAGACATTGGGTGGGGAGTGGGAAGAGATGGAGCTGGGGAGGTGGGAAGGGGAGGGATCCTAAGGGAATGTGGAGCCTGAAAAAGGTATTTATTACCTTCCCCCCAAGAATAACAGGGAGTTATGGGCGGGTTTACAGCAGGGAAGGGAGACGTCAGGACGGCATAGCCAACAAATAGGTCTCTGGGCTGTACTGTGACTAATGGGCTGGAGGGGCAAGCGTAGAGCAAGGAGACCAGCTAGGAGGCTCCAGCAGTTAAGACATAGTGAACCGGGTCACGGTAATAACGATATCCCTAGTTCTGCAAAGTCCTACCTGCTTTTAAGAGGAAGCTACCGCCCACTGGGACTCTGCTTACCAAGCGGGTGGTCGTATCTGCCATGTCCTTTCTCTTCTACTCTAGGCCCCCCTGTTGATGTGGACCTGAGATGCCATGTGAAGATGCCCCCTTGCCACCATCAGTGCTCATGATGACAATGCCAATGTCCAGAAGACCTAGTGAGTCAACAAATAGTTAACAAGGAAGAAAGCAGACAGGGACTAAAGGAGGCTCAAGAGACAGGCAAACCTAATGCAATGTTGAATCACGATACCATTGACCCAACTGTAAAAAGGCATTTCGGGGCACTTGGAAAAGTATAAATGCTGACCAGATGATTTTAAAGAATTATTACTAATTTTGTGAGGTGTGATATTAGCATTGTGGTTATGGTTTTCTGAAAAGTATTTGTTAAACCCTGGCCGGTTTGGCTCAGTGGTTAGAGCGTTGGCCCTTGGACTGAAGGGTCCTGGGTTCGATTCTGACCAAGGACATGTATCTGGGTTGCAGGCTCGACCTCTGGCGCCATCAGGCACGTGTAGGAGGCAACTGATCAATGTCTCTCTCTCTCTCACCCTTCTACTCTTTCTGAAAAGCAATGGAAAAAATACCCTCCCGTGAAGATTAAAAAAAAAAAAAAAAGACTGGAAGAACAATGGAGCTTCCTGCAGGATGGTATCCAAGCGATTTTTATGTGCTTCTCTATACTTTTAGCACCACCTCCACAAATTTTCTACTAAGAACCTATGTTAGTTTTATAGCCAGAAAACATTGTCGTCTTTTTTTTTTTTTAAAAAAAACATAACAGGTAAGATAGGCCACCAGGAGAAAGAAGTCTGGATGGGATTCTCCAAGCGTCTGTATGTCTCTGACCCACCAGTCCCATGAGAGGTGAGCTGGGAGTCACCTCAAAGAGGCAGGCCTGTCCCGTCACTGAGAAAAAGAGACGCTCTCAGTGGCCACTGTCCAGTTCTCTACCACTCTCCCCAGGCTAGTGTAGGAGATAATGCACAATAATCCTGTCTTTTGCTTCCAGGGGCCTGACGCCCCAAGCAGCCTCTCTCACGCACTATTGTGAGACGTTCCCCGGTTCCCCCAAAGCACTTTCTCCCAGGGAATTCGATGAGACGAAGCGAAGCCTAGCAAGTCTGGGGCAGGATGTAAAGCCTCAGACCTGGGGCTGAGCTCCTTTACCGACAGCTGAGGGCGTTGGGAACCACAACTTGCCTCAGTTTCCTTATCTGTAGAACGGGCGCAATAAAAAGCATCGAATTTAGAGTTCCTGTGAGGAATATTTGACTTTTTCTGAGCAAAAAGCTGCTACAACTAGGAAGCACCTAATAAACGATTCATTCTAATACATTGCCTGCTAAGGGGTGTACAACCTGGTATAGAATCAAGCAAAAGGGGTTCATTCATTTTTATTTTTATTTTTCTTAGACCATTGTGAGGGCAACGGACATGGAGAAAGATGACCTGGAAGCATTTCGCAAGGAAAGCCCGTGGGACTCGCTGACTGATTAAACCCAGGGGCGAGCAGGACAGAGGCCTCCCTTAGGTTTTTGGTGAGAAAGAGAAAAGCATCACCCGGCAGCTGCAGCCAGCAGTCAGGTGGGATCTGGTGTCTTCCTTTTCAACAATTTCACAGAATGTCAACATCAAACAGGGACCAAGATGTGGCTTTGACGGATCAAGATAAAAGCAAGACTCCTTTGCAGCCTGAGTACACACAAAAATGTGCACTTTGTCTCAACCACGAAAATGACCAAATATCCCCGATCCCGGCCAACAGGAAGGACTGTTGCTTCCTTGCCAATTACGGGGTTAGCTGACTTTCATTCCTCGCACCTTCTAGAAAAGATTGACTAAAGATACCCAGTCAGAGAATTGTCCCTGCTTCCCGACAACGTTAATTCCAGGGCAAAGCTCTGCGTCCTGGAACCGCCCCCCGGTCGCCCAAGGCTCCCCTGCCGGAGAGGCTCCCTCACCCGAAGGAGTCGATAAACACACCTTCGTTCAATTATAGATACGACCTTGGTGGTCTTTGGCTGATGGGCATTGACATTGGCAACCTCATTTATATTAAAACATAGAAGGACTTAGTGGCTGATACTGAATGAGTCTGTACCATGTGCTGAGAAGCGTTCTCAGGGCGCTATATGTTTAATTCATTTACTTCTCCCGTCAACCCTATGAAGAGGGGTACCGTTATTAGCGGGTTTTACTGCTGAGAAACCTAAGGTACAGACTGCACAGCGAGGCGGGAGGATTGGAACCCGGGTCACATCAAAGCCCGGCAGAGCCACCCTCACGCCTTAGCCCGCAAAGCCAGGCAGCCATCTTGTTTGTAGTCGCAAGAACTGCAACTCCCAGCACCCCTTGCGGCAGTAGCTCTCCACACACAACAAATCCCGGCGTGCCCCGGGGCGTCCCGGGGTGGAGGGTTCTAGAAGGCGTGACGTGAGGTCAAGAGCGGGCTCAGAGGCGGGCACCTCTCGACAGTCGCTGTGGCTGCAGCTGCCGGGCCTGGGGAAGCGGGTGGCCGGGGCCGCGGGCGCAGCCTCCTCGTCTCCCCGGCCATGGCTGCACTCGGTCGGCCTTTCAGTGGCCTTCCCTTGAGCGGCGGCTCGGACTTCCTGCAGCCGCCGCCGGCCTTCTCCGGCCGGGCCTTCCCGCCGGGGCCGGACGGTGCGGAGCTGGCCCCGCGGCTGGGATCCCGGGTTGCCCC